CTGCGCGCGGCCCGTACGGGCTGCGCCAGGCCCGCGCGCGGCCCGTACGGGCTGCGCCAGGCACGCGCGCGGCCCGTACGGGCTGCGCCAGTCCCGCGCGCGGCTCGGACCGCCTGCGCGCGGTTCGGGAGGCTGTGCCAGGCCCGTGGGCGCCCCGTTCTTCGCTGCCCCTGTCCTCCCCGCTGTCCCCCGTGCTTCTGAAGGCGCCCCACCCCTCCTTCTGCCCGTTCTCCTGGATTAGGGTTTGGGGTTGGGGGGTATGGGGGTGCAGCTTCTGTGTGCCGTTCCCTGCTCCTCCTCCTCCTCCGTCTCCCTGTGCTGCAGCTGCCGCTGAGGGGGGTGGACCTGTTGGAGCCGTCGGAGTGGTACTAAGGGGGGGTGAAGGGGGAGTGGAGCTAGCGGTGTAGCAGCGGGTGTGTGTCGAGGGATGTGGGACTGTTGGGGGAGGTTGAGGGGAGGTTGCCGTCGTGTCGTACGCAGCGCCTGTACTCCGGGGCACTCACTCCCGGTAGCTCAGAGAGCCGGTTGCGCCGTCGCCTGTGGGTCCGTTGCTCCTGCTGCTCGTCTTAGCCGCGGAGCCTGTTACTCCTGTACTCCGGGGCACTCACTCCCGGTAGCCACTGTGTCGCACCAGAGCCGTCTGTTGCCCGTGTGACTGCAGCTTCAGTCGTCGCCTCCCATCTACTCTCCTCTCGCCAGCCCTCCTCCTCCTCACTTCCCCGTTGTGACTACCACTAGCTTTGCTCATAATTGTGAACTTTAAACTATTGCTTCTTAAACTTGTGCTCAGAATGTGTGGTGACATTGTGATCCACCCTGAGCTTGTACTGCTTTGCTTGCTCTGCTGATTACACCCCACTTTGGCTATGGGGGTGTGTCAGAATATTATGCTCTAGCCTGTAGTGGGGTGCTCTGTAGCGAGTACAACCCTTCTAGGGTTTGCTATTTGTATCCCCATTCTTGCTAGTGCAACCCCTCTCTTTCGCCTAAACTCTCTTGCCTAGCTAGGACTCTCCTAGCTATGGCTCCTAAGACTACCGCTTATCTCAACAGCGACATGGCTTTCGAGGCTTTCGTGGCATGGCTTCCAGCAGCAGAACGGGAATCGGGAGCTAAGCTCAAAAGTTTTCAATCAGACGGAGGAGGAGAATACTCGTCACAGCGGTTCAAGCAGTATCTGGCGGAGAAGGGAATCAAGAGACTCATCTCCCTTCCCTACGCTCATCAACAGCAGGGTGTAGCAGAAAGGATGAACAGGACTCTGCAGAACACCATGCGCAAACTGTTACGTGGCATGCGGCTACCCAACCACCAGTGGCCCGAAGCAATGGACCACGCCGTGATGCTGCACAACTTGCTTTCTTCGTCGTCACTCCCGAACAACACATCACCGCATCTGCTGTGGACAGGGAAACTGGGCAGCACAAAAATGTTACGAGTCTTCGGCTGCATGGTACAGTACCGACCCCCATCTGCACGAGCCGGCCGATTCTCCCAACGCGCACAGTGGGGACTACACCTGGGCATCGAAAAACATTACAACGCGTGGAAAATCTTCGACATCCACACCAAGGAAACAGTAGCAGCACGTGATGTCATTTTCTACGAACGGCTCACACTGCCAACGTACCTTGCCAACCTGGACGAAAATCGAGACCCCACAGGTGGCTTCCGTGGCGATCGAGCCTTCGCTTCGGCAGGAGACGAAGCTGACTGGGACGAGCAGAACGTGGAAGGAGCCTCGGAAGAAGCCGGACCTCTTCCCTACTGCTCAGTGGACGTACCGATGGACGAAGATAACCCTCGCGAAAGCGTCAACGCCGAAACCTACTACCACTTCGCCGACAACGGTTACGTTACACCTGCTGAAGTCAACACCAACGAAGCAGAACGCATAGGGCCCAACTTCGCACCCGATCCAGAAACTGGAGACGAGGCAGTCTATCCCGAGGACACCACACTCCCCCGCTACACACAGAGTGGACTCCAGATACTCGGGCTCGTCACCGCAGTCCACGGCGCCGCCATTCCTAAAGAGCCTGCAACGATTCAGCAGGCTCTGGGGGGGGAACACAGGGAAAAATGGCGTGAAGCCATGGACAAGGAGCTGAAAGCGCTAGAAGAACGCAACACCTGGAAAATCGTTCCTATCGGCGTAGCACGAAACAAGACCATTCTCACCGGAAAATGGGTCTTCCGCGTGAAGACGAAAGCAGATGGCACCATCGACAAATTCAAGGCGCGCTGGGTCGTACGCGGCTTCGACCAAGAGCACGGACGCGACTTCACCGAAACCTTTGCTCCGGTCAGCCGACACACCTCACTACGCATTCTCCTCGCGATCGCCGCCATGAAGAAGAAAAGGCTACGACAAATCGACGTCGCAAACGCCTTTCTCTACGCACCTGTTGACGCAGAAATCTTCGTGGAGCTACCACACGGCTCCAGCACGGACTCCACACACGTCTGTCAACTACTCAAATCGCTCTACGGCATCAAACAAGCCCCACGACTGTGGCAACAGTACCTGCACGCCCGACTCGTTCGCATCGGCTTCAAGCAACTACCGCACGATCAGGGAATGTATCGGCTCACGAAGGGTACAGACTACATCCTCCTAATCGTCTACGTAGACGATTTACTCTACATCGGCTCGACAGACAACGTCACCTCCTGGTTCGAAGGGGAGCTGCAGAAAGACCTCACGCTCACGGTCTCGTCTACCGTCACACAGTACCTCGGCCTCAACATCCGAGAAGAAGAAGATGCGATCTACCTCAACGCCGCGAAATATGCCGACACCATCGCCAAACGCTTCGCTCTCACACCAGCCGCCATCTCCACGCCATACCGCTACACGACAGGAACCGAGAAGGGACGATCCACTCTACTCAAACCAGCCGGCATACGCGACTATCAGAGGAAGCTCGGATGCCTCCTCTTCGCAGCCGTCACTTGCCGTCCCGACCTCTCATACTCCGCAAGTCAACTCGCCACCTACCTCAAGAAGCCTGAAGCAGAACATCTGGCGGAACTTGACCGCGCTCTTCACTACTTCATCAGCACCGCGACGATCGGCCTAACCTACCACAAGAACGCAGCTACACCAACTAAGCTAATCGGCTATGTCGACGCCGATCACGCCGGCGACTCCGACAACAGGCGCTCACGTACCGGCTACGTCTACCGCCTCGAACCTATCGGACCTATCTCCTGGCAGTCGAGCAAGCAAGAGTTGATCGCGTTATCGTCAGCTGAGGCAGAATATATCGCACTCTGCTCAGCCACCAAGGAAGGCCTTTATCTTCGCGAGCTGCTGGAAGAAGCAAAGTTAGCTGAGTTACCCAACTTCACCCTGTTCTGCGACAACCAGTCTGCAATTCGCATCGCCAACAAGAACGGCTTCGCGAACAAGACGAAACATATCGCCCTGCGTTACTTCTTCGTGAAGGACGAGATCGAGAAGGGGAGACTTCAGCTGTCATACTGTCCCACGTCCGAGATGGCAGCCGATTATTTGACCAAGAAACTCGGAAAGCAGAAATTCGAGTACTGCGTGTTGCTGACTGGACAAAGCCACGTCATCAAGAGCGACACTCCAGAAGCGAAGGGGAGTGTTGGAAACAATAAATTGTAAACGCCTCTGTCGTGTCGAAACACCACACCAGAAGCGAAGCACGCCATGTCGAAGCACCCGCGAGTCAACCCTCGGAGGTTAAAAGAGGTTGCTGGAGGTTACGCGAAAGTCAAAGGTCAAGCGACCTTTGACCTGACAAATACAGCGCGACAGTTAAGGACACACAACTGACTCATTACAGAGCAGTTGCCCGAGTCGTACTGTATCGAACCGCAACAGCAAAAGTAGTTACAAACTGCATCCTTTCATATTCCTTGTATTATTATATAATCTTGTACTTCCTTGCTATAATTAATCTACTTTGCCCTCACATACCAGCGCAAGGTGGTTCACAAACTTTTGTTAAACGCTTCCGCTATTACAACACTTTCATCCAGAGTTCTCCCTTGAAAGATCCTAAGGGGCTATCTCAGCCCAACATGGCTATCCTCCATGAGTCCATGACCACCCTGGTCCAACCATGTCTTGCCCGCTTTCCGTAAAATGGAGCATCTCAATGAAACCATGGTGGTCTGACTAGGCAGGGTATTCTCTATCACTAACAGTGTAGGATATTGCGCAGTTACCTTTCAGACAGGCCTTGGCTAGTCAGTCGGACCACGCACGGTAACCGAGTGTTTGACAACCCAGTGAGGCATATGGAGAGATTGTGGGCTGTCCCGTATTCCCAAACCTGAACACACGAATGTTGTCGGCACATCCGAGGCTGGGCCACTGCCGGGGATTAAGTGCATTAAGGATAACTTACACTTGTACTAGCACCCAGCATACGGTACGGTAATAGTTACTATGGTACAATGCATGAGCACAACACATGAGCGATTCAACAGCTCTGTGTCACATTATCCAAGCAACCAATGCCGGGACTTAGTTACTCCACTTGCTAAATTTGAAGATCTGTCTTGATTAGTGAGTTCCTCTTGGCTTGGCACTATGAAACCTCCTTTGTCGCGGTGCAGGCTAGAGGGAATGCGAGGAGGAAGGAGGGATGGAACTTCCAGATACAGAGAGGAGGGAGGGAGAGGAGGAAGGGGGTGCGGTGGAGCGACGGGGGGCAGCGAGGGGGAAGAGGAAACGGCTGGTGTAGGCTTGTGTCCACTGGAATGGGGAGGGGTGGGAGAGAGGAAGTAGGGGTGCTGTGAGTGGTGGAGAGCGGTTGAGGGAGAATGTGAGCGTGGGGGAGTAGGCAGACCAGTTGCGTCCACTCGTGGGGCGAGGACGGGTTGAAGAGGGATGGGGAAGGGACAAGGAGTGCAAAGGGTCGAGAAGACATAGGGGAGCATTCCACATGGCAATGATAGGAGTGAGTGGGATCATGCGCATGGCAATGATAGGAGTGAGTGGGAGCATGCGCATGGGCTGTTCATGTGCAGAGCCCCAACAGCCCTTGCGCATCCCAGCAGCGGCAGCACAAGAAGAGCCTCACCTGCTCCCCATACAGCCTCACCTCCTCCCAGCAGCGGCAGCACAAGAAGAGCCTCACCTGCTCCCCATACAGCCTCACCTCCTCCCAGCAGCGGCAGCACAAGAAGAGCCTCACCTGCTCCCCATACAGCCTCACCTCCTCCCAGCAGCGGCAGCACAAGAAGAGCCTCACCTGCTCCCCATACAGCCTCACCTCCTCCCAGCAGCGGCAGCACAAGAAGAGCCTCACCTGCTCCCCATACAGCCTCACCTCCTCCCAGCAGCGGCAGCACAAGAGCCTCACCTGCTCCCCATACAGCTGGACTAGCATGTTCACAGCAGGGTCGTGCCGCTCAAAGTACTCATCAAACGGATGAATGCCCCCACATGGTAAGTCAACACGCATGTGATGTGTTGACTTTTGACTCGACTCAAAAGTCAACTCGGATGAATGCCCCAGATGGTAACCCAACACGCATGTGATGTGCAGAGCCATGGAGCATTCCACCCTCACCTGCTCCCCGAACAGCTGCCGCAGCATGGTCACAGCGGGGTCGTGGCGCTCAAAGTACCCATCAACACGCATGTGACGTGCATGTGCAGCAGCAGGAGCACAGAAACCCTACCTCACCATGAAGCCTCACCTCACCAACAAGCCTCACCTGCTCCCCGAACAGCTGCCCCAGCATGGTCACAGCAGGGTCGTGGCGCTCAAAGTACTCATCAAACGCCCTCTGCCCCTCCACTGCCCCGCAGCGATCAGCCTCTGCTGGTGGTGCTGACCGCCCTGCTGCCTCCCCCTGGCAATCTGCATCTGCCCGCCCTGCTGCTTGCGTCCCCTGGCAGTAACACGCCATGCATGCGTCGTGGTAGGCTGCGAGGTACTCGGTGAGAAGCTGCCACACACTGCCGCTGGGGGGCTTTGAGGTGGAAGGGAGAGGGAGGGTTGAGGGAAAGAAAGGCAGTGGTCATGGCACGACATGTAGTTACTCTGTGAGGAGCTGCCACACACTGCCGCTGGGGGGCTGTTAAAGTGGGAGATGGGAGGGAGAGGGTGGGATAAAGGAGAGAGAGAGGCAGTGACACAACATGCTGGCGTCGTGGTGGGCTGAGAGGTACTCGATGCATAGCTGCCACACACTGCTGCTGGGGGACTGGTGCGGTGGGCGATGGAAGGGAGAGGGTGGGTTGAGGGAACAAGAGAGGCAGTGGCCATGGCCCACAACATGGCGTCATGGTAGGCTGTGAGGCACTCATGCATAGCTGCCACACACTGCCGCTGGGGGGCTGGTGTGGTGAGATGGAGGGAGACAGAGGCGGATGGAGGGGAAGGAAAGAGAGAGGGGGAGTTGAGGGAGAACGGGAGGCCAACATGTAGGCATCAGGGTAGGCTGCCACACCACACACTGCTGGTGGGGGGCTGGTGTGATGATGGGAGACTGGAGGGAGGGAGAGAGCAGGATGAAAGGGAAGGAGGGAGAGAGGCGGTGACCCTCACCTGCAGGTTGGCATCGACTCACCTGCAGGTTGGCATCGACTCACCTGCAGGTTGGCATCATCTCACGTCACCTGGCCTGCGAGCGGTAGAGCAGCAGATGGGGCGAGGCGAAGCAAGCCAGAGGGTACCGCACTGAATCCAGCCACACCCACACAAACAGCAATGCAGCGCCTCACCAGCAGGTTGGCATCGGCCCAGCCGTCCTGCGAGCGGTAGAGCAGCAGGTGCGGCGAGAAGAAGTGCGAGTCAGGGGGTGCCGCAGTGTACCCAACCCAGCCACAACCACACGAACAGCACTGCAGCGTCTCACTCACTCACTCACCAGCAGGTTGGCATCGGACCAGCCGTCCTGAGAGCGGTAGAGCAGCAGGTGCGGCGAGAAGAAGTGCGAGTCAGAGGCAAAGAAGCGAGCAGTCATGGGCGTGAGCAGATGCGCGTGCTGCTGGCGAATAGTGTTCAGACGGGCTGTGACTGGTGCCTGCACGTGCGGAGTAGGATAGAATGAAACATGAGGAGATTTGATCAGGAATGGTAGCAGGTGCGGCGAGAAGAAGTGCGCGTCGGAGGCAAAGAAGCGAGCAGTCATGGGCGTGCTGTGCGCGGATGGTGTTCAGACAGGCGGTGACTGATGCCTGCACGTGGGACACACATGAATGGAGCGGCAGCAGGGAAGTCTTGAGGCAACTCAGAAGCCGGTGCGAGTGAAGGGCCTTCACGATACCTGACAGGCAGTGATCGCTGGCTGCATGTAGGAGATACAGGGTGAAGGACGTGTTGCAACGTGCAAAGGCTCAGAGAGGAGTAGTGGCTGCATATGGGAGTGGAACAAGCCGTGGATGTCTTACTGGCAGGATGCAAAACAAGCCGTGGTTGCCGTGGGGTGCAGAGAAGTTACCGGCAGGAAGCGACCATGTTGGGTGGAGAGATGTGCCATTGCCATGTGTCAAGACCTTACAGGCTAATGGACTCAGGGTCACAGGCTTAACGGCTTACCAGCTTACCAGCGTACCGTTAGAGGGTGCAAGGACGAACCGGTAGGAGGTGACCCTGGGTGAGGCGGTGCAGCTGGTGGGGCGATGTGGGGTGGAGGTCGATGAAGGCGAGGAGGTGACCCTGGTTTACAGACTCACAGGCTTACAGGCTGAAACACTCAGAGACTCACAGACTCACACGCTCACCGGTAGGAGGTTCCCCTGGGTGAGGCAGTGCAGCTGTTGGGGCGACGTGGGGTGCAGGTCGATCAAGGCGAGCAGGCGACCCTGGCTGGCTTACAGGCTTACATACAGTCTGACACACTCACAGACCCACAGACTCACAGACTCACAGACTCACAGACTTACAGACTTACACGCTTACCGGTAGGACGAGCCCCTGGGTGAGGCGGTGCAGTTGGTGGGGCGATGTGGGGTGCAGGTCAATGAAGGCAAGGAGGCGGGAGGAGCTCACATGCCCACATGCTTACCAGCTTACCGTTAGAGGACGCAGAGACTCACAGGTATAAGGAGACCCTGGGTGAGGCGGTGCAGCTGGTGGGGCGACGTGGGGTGGAGGTCAATGAAGGCAAGGAGGCGGGAGGAGTTGAAACACAGCAGCTCCACTGCCAATAGAGGGAGGTCGTTCCTGGGGGAGGTGGGGGGGAAGTGGAGGGGAGGTAGAGGTGGGGTAAAGGAGGTGAGTGGAGGTGGAGGGAAGCGAGGGTGAGACAGCGCATTTGAGGCGCACCTGAAGCGCGGGTAGCAGAGGGTGGTGAGAGCATGCACCTTGGGCCCATAGTCCACACAGCAGCTTGGGATGAGAGTGAGACGCGCGTGAATCATGGCATGAGGACTCGAACCCTCTGGATCGAGGAGGGTGAGATGCACCTGAAGCGAGGGTAGCAGAGAGCGGTGAGCGCCTGCACCTTAATCCCATAGTCCGTCCACATACGACACGCGCACCCGCCGCTAGGGTGGGGGATGGGACACACACACGCACATGAATGCAGGCAGCACACACCTGAAACGCGGGTAGCAGAGGGCGGTGAGCGCCTGCACTTTGGTTCCATAGTCCACATACGACACGCGCACCCGCCGCAGCACTGCCGTCTCCACCAACCAGTTCCTCACACGTGGCCTCTCCTCCCCCCGTCCCCGCGCACCCCCCTCCCCCTGCTCACCATCCCCGCTTTCCTGCTCCCCCTCCCCTCTCCCTCCACCGCCACCTCCTTCCCCATCCCCCCTCCCGCCCTTCTTCCGCCCTCCCCGCCTGCCCGCGCCCCTCCCCGCGCCCCTCCCCGCGCCATCTTTGAAAGCCAGGTCAGGGGACAGCGGCAGCGGCTTAAAGCCCGGCTGCTGCTGCAGCGCGCGCCAGAGGAGGCGCAGGTGCGGGGCGAAGGGCAGAGGGGTGTCGCTGGAGGGGTCTGTCAGCCAATGGGGGTCGTCCAGCGGTGGGGAATCACGTCGCCGCAAGATGCGCGCATGCGAACGGACAGATACTACGAGGGTGGTTTGCGAATGCTGGACAGGCGATAGGGTCGCTGCTGAGAGTGAAGCTGCCTCACTGGAGAATGCTTGTACGGCTGAACTCTCAGTAACGGCGGCAGTGGCAACAGTGGCAGGTGCTTTGACTGCTGATGCTGCCTCCGCAGTCGCTGCTGCTTCAGATGCAGACGCTGCTGCTTCCGCTGCTTCTTTGGTTGTATGCTGCGCAGCTGGTGTTGTGGTGCTGCGGCGACTAGAAGCAGTCGTCTGGTCGTCGCCAGACATGCGCGGCACTCCACAAAACTGGTTGCGCGATTCCTGTCGCACATGCGACTGGCTGTGCGACCGCATGCGACGCTGTCGCTGTGGTACGTTGCTCGCTTGATGGGTGTACCACGGCGACGAAGAGGTAGCCGCTGTACGCGCTAGAAGATGGAACGACGTGGACGCCATGCCGCTTTGCGTCAGCATCAAGTTCAGCGGCGCGGTCAATAGTGTGAGTAGAGAGCAAATGTGAACTCGCCACGCTCTAGAGCGACGCGATACAGAGCGAGCGAGGAGAATCAGCGGAGCCGAGGGTACAGAGGGGTGCTGATCTGTAGGGAGCGGGGGTACAAAGCGGTCAGACGCGGTCACGCGGGTCTTTGTAATATATGTTGCTCACGTAGTTTTCATTAGAAGTACCAGTAGTATACTACCAGCAGTTGCCCCTAACAATTTAGAGGGCCCTAAGTTTCTGAGAGGAATTCCCCAACATTTGTTGTTCTCGGAAAGGGTGTGTAAGGAATTACAATTCCTTACTGTACTCGCACTTTAGCGAGTACATCCCGAGGGTGTCGCGACGAACCTGTTCAGCCTAATTCGTCGCACCGAACCACTCCCGAGTCGGCTCCGCACCAATCGCAACCATCACCGAGCCATCCTCGCCCTACCTCTTCGCCTAGCTAGGACTTTCCCTATGTAGTCGTGCCTTTCTCAATGTATCGTCATTCGGTAATTCTCGTTCTCGTTATTCGATATTCTGCGCGGGAAGATCTTCGGCAGCTGGCGACAACGGGCCTGCGTCAGCATGGGCGACAATTTCGGAGGTTTTTACTAAGAAGAAAAGGGCAGCTCGAAGGACTCGCCAGGCGCAAATGAAGTTTGCGTCAGAGGATCCCGACGGCTGGGAGAGATGGACGCTCAAGCCCCCCGAATTAAGCGGGGGTTGAGTTTTATCCCGTCCGACCGGATAGTACGGTGCTTACCGTACTGGCGGGCGAGTCGTCGACGATTTTCGGCAGAAGTGCTTGTGGACAGACGGGAACTTTGGACCCGCCGACACTTACGGGCTGCAACAGACAACGACGTGGCTAAATCGCACTTAGCGGAAGTGGGGCGCAGGCGCGAGGGTACATCGGGACTGAACATCCGAAAAATACTCGTTTGACGCTGCGTGCCTGGAGCTGTTTGCCAGCTGTTCGACAATTTCGAGATTAGTTTCCCCGTTCAAGGAAGCCGTTTTCGGGGACAGCCGCAACAGCCCACGATTAAACGGTGTTCAACGTGCCACCCCGACAATTTCGGAGTGTGGTGCAGGCCGCCGGGACACGCGAAAAGAGACTGCCCAGCGGCTAAGCGGGGGTCGAAGAACGTCATGGGGAGCAGATAAAAGCCGGTGGAACCGATCTGCGGCCCTACTTCGCCCGAACCTCACCATCCCCACCGATTACTAGTTGCGACTCATGCTGTCGACCTTATTCGGATGAATAAGGGGGTGAACACGAGCCTACCCTGCGCTGGTTAAAAGCACCTGGTTTGGTGCCCGTTCGACAGCTGTACAGAAAAGACAAAAAAAAAAGGGAGTTGCGGCACTGTTCTGCCCCGACAAAAGCGGACTGGGTGAACGGCACGCGAAAAAAGCAGGGCGCCGCAGGACAACAACGGTGCAGTTAACAGGTTTCCTCTGACCCGGGCGTCTACACGAATTGATAGCGCAACGGCGTAACGGGACCCGGAAGCTGCGGCGTTTTAGTGGCGCGACGGGCACGGTGGGCTAAAAAGCGGTTGGGAATGATTCCCTTTTAACCAAGGCTACCCCGACTCTGATAGACTTTTCTTCTCCACCGTGGCCGGGTTTGTGCGAGCAACACCGACTACACCCCATCCGACAAAAGCGGATGTGTCAGAAATAACTGAGCAGGAATGAATGAACTAGCACAGAGTTTGGTACAAGTAGGAAACCCTAACTTTGTGTACCCCCTAAGGTGTAACCCACTACAGCCTACACAATATAAACATACAATGTTTGACACACCCCCATAGGCGCAGTGGGAGACAACCACAGGGTCACAAGACCAGTCAAAGCAAAGCAAGCTCAGGGTGGATCTCAAGGATTCCACACAAATTCTGAGCACAAGCAAGCGGTCCCAAGACCAGTTCACATGCAGGTTTATAACAAAGCAAGAGATACAGTGATCACAACCTAGCAAAAGTAAACAAGTAGGCATATATATATAGTGATCACAGTACAAGCAAGGTCAAGAGGTAAGCAAGTGAGGCCCAGTGGGTACAAGGCCTAGCAGAGTGCAAAAGCGCTGATGGTCACAAGGCTGAAGCGCCTTGGTGAACACATCAGCAGTGTTGGCCTCCGTGGCCACGTAACGCAGACAAAGCTGACCACGCTGCTGCAGCTCTCGAGCAAGGAAGTACCGCAGAGCGATGTGCTTCGTTCTGTGCTCCAGTCTGTGCTCCTCACACAAGGCAATGGCAGCCTTGTTGTCGACGTACAGCACTGGAGGAGAACGAGGCCGCTCTCCGAGGTCGGTCAGCAGGTAGGTCAGCCAGCGTAGCTCCTGAGCAGCCATGGCTGTGGCGTAGATCTCAGCCTCACAACTGGAGCTGAGAACAGAAGAAGAGCGAGTAGAACGCCAAGAAACTGAGCCAGAGCCAAGGCTGAAGGTGTAACCCTGGGACGACCGCTGAGTAGCCTGGTCGTCTGCCCAAGAAGCGTCTGAGTGCCCTGTGAGAACAACCCGGTCTCGCCCTCCAAGCACAAGCCCCATGCCCGACGTACTGCACAAGTAGCGCAACACCCTCTTAGCAGCATCCATGTGCTCCTTCCGGTGACGGCCAGGAGCGACATAGCGTGCTAGGATGCTAAGAGGGTATGCAAGGTCAGGTCGAGTGCAGGTCATCAGGTACATGAGACAGCCCACAAGCTCTGGATACGGGCCACTCGGCTCTACGGACTCATCCGAAGGCAGAGCTGAGAGCGAGTGACCGGTAGGCAGAGGAGTGGACTGAGGCGAGGAGTACGTGAAGCGGAAGCGCTGGAGAACCTGCTGCACCATGTGTGACTGAGTCAGGGTGATGGTGCGCCGTGCTCTGTCCCGGGTGATCCGCAAGCCAAGATAGCTCGTCAGCTCACCCAGGTCTGTGCACGTGTGTCTCCTCTGCAGCTCCGACTTCACGTGGGCGAGTGCCGCGGTGTCAGCAGTGGCAAAGACCAAGTCGTCGACGTACACGAGGATGTAGAACGGCGGCAGCGAGGTGTCGGTGCGTAGAAACAGCGACGGGTCAGCAGTAGAGGGAGCGAACCCAAGAGCCGCAAGTGTCGTCCTCAGTGTGTCGTGCCACTCACGTGGCGCCTGGCGGAGACCGTAGACCGGCCGCTGAAGCCTCCACTGGGTGCCAGGAGGAACTGACCCAGTGAAGCCAGGGGGGCGGCGCAGCCAGATCTCCTCGTGCAGGCTGCCCTGCAAGAAAGCAGTGCTGAAGTCAAGAGAGTGAAGCTCGTAGTCGCGGTGAGCGGCTATGTGCAGCAGCACCCGAAGAGTAGTCATCTTCGGGGTGGGGGAGAAGGTCTGAAAGAAGTCTACTCCCTCTCGCTGACTGAAGCCTCGAGCCACGTAGCGCGCCTTGAAGACAGGTGGAGAACCCGGCGGCCGCTTCACCCTGAAAATCCACATGCCACTGACGATGTTCGCCCCAGGAGGGGGAACCTCGTCTACGTAGGTGCCTGTGGACTTCCAGGAGGCCATCTCTGCGTCCATGGCTGTCTGCCACTGAGAGGAGTAGGGACCCGCCATCGCCTCAGTGTAAGTGCGCGGGGTCGGGATGTCTGGTGCATCCGGGTCTCCCTCAGGGGCAACTAGCAAGGACACGAGACGGGGCAAAGCAGCAGCAAGGCAGTGGAACTCCTCCTGTCTGTCCTCAAGGACGTCCGTGCCGAGGGCACACTCACCCCCGACGGACGGAGGACAGGCAGACGCAGACTCAGACCTAGCGACAAGGCTGGCAGCGTAGTCTAGGCGACAGCGAGCAGCAAAGTCAACCAACTCAGCGACCAGAGCAGACGCAGCCGAGGACTCAAAGGTCGGGTCAGTGACAACTGTAGCGAGGAGACGCGTAACAGTGGGACTGGCAGCACGACGGGAGTCAGACTCCGGGTCAGGAAGAGTAGGAAGAGAGGACGCAGGAGGAGACGGCAGCGGGACACGCTGCGGAGCAGTGGAGGGACGCAGAGTCATGTAGTGAGTGCCAGGGACAGGAGGAGGACGCTCACGTGGGACACGACGACCAGTGCGAGCAGTACGAACAGGCGACGCAGGACGAGACTCAGGCTCACGACGCTCTGTAAGACCTCCTGTGGGACCAGCGTAAGGGGAGGGAGCAGGGAGAGGCGAGGCAGGCGGTAACTGTGACTGCGGCTGGACAGGCAGAGGACACTCGACTGACGGAGGAGGACTAGGAGGAGGAGCCTGACCAAGAACCTGCTGAAGGAGCGGTACGAAGTACGGTCGCGGCCGCGCAGCGTCTCCAGAAGCAGCAGGGACACCAGTGGCAGCCCCAACGCCCGAGTCCTCAGCACCAGCAGCAGCTCCAACGCCCGGGTCCTCAGCACCAGTAGGAGCTCCAACGCCCGAGTCCTCAGCACCAGCAGCAGCGCCACCGGTCGGGTCCTCAGCACCAGCAGCAGCTCCAACGCCCGGGTCCTCAGCACCAGCAGCAGGGCCACTGGTCAGGTCCTCAGCACCAGCAGCAGCGCCACCGGTCGGGTCCTCAGCACCAGCAGCAGCTCCAACGCCCAGGTCCTCAGCACCAGCAGCAGGGCCACTGGTCAGGTCCTCAGCACCAGCAGCAGCTCCAACGCCCGGGTCCTCAGCACCAGCAGCAGGGCCACTGGTCAGGTCCTCAGCACCAGCAGCAGCGCCACCGGTCGGGTCCTCAGTACCAGCAGCAGCTCCAACGCCCGGGTCCTCAGCACCAGCAGCAGCACCACCGCTCAGGTCCGCAGCACCAGG